ATAACCAAAACAAACGGACGTGACTTGATGCCGGTCGCAATGCACGAGGGATACCTACACAAACGATGTCGCGCGTCCAGAACGTTATATTTCGCTAATTCATAGTTATTATAGAATTTTCAACCTAACCCACACAATCGTGTATGCAGGTACGGAAAGGACAGGATGTGTTTGAATAAATCGGTCTTAGGTGTCACCAATTTTTCAAATCACCCTGTATGGAATGTATGAATTGTGATTCATGATGGAATGAAAATGTTTATATTTTTCACTCTGTAAACAATTACATCATCTGAACCATCTGAATTATGTTGAGTAATGAAAAATACCGATTTGTAACTAAACGCCCTGTATCTCAGAATCTGTTCATCAAAGAACTTTACGATTCTGCAGGTTCAATCAGTTCATCGAATTCTAAAACATACTGAAAATTCAGAAAATTTCACCGAGAACCATTTTACGTACTAAAAGTGCGGGGTCCTTTCCCAGCAAAGACTTAGTAAGGAGTGAAGTTGCTTTCTCATTGAATAATAACTTTTCAATACCTAGTGACTCTTTCAACAATAATCTGGATATCAGAATCTCAAAAAATATTACAAGGATTATCAAAGACAATAATTCGGTGGTAACTAAGGCTGACAAGGGTAACTGCATTGTCATTCTTGATAGGTTAGATTACTGTCACAAAGTTACTCAGTTCTTGGACTCAGATAATTTTTTAAAATTAAAAACTGATCCTACCTCGAAATTCTTCAATAACATGAAATCTATATTCAACACCTGTATTGATACTATCAATTTTTACCACTCATCAAAACTCAAGTTGACTCCTATGAATCTTTCCTCCCCTCTTCCATATGGTTTACCTAAAATTCATAAAAATAACATACCCATAAGACCAGTTGTATCCTATTGCAATTCTCCTGCCTCTAAACTAGCATTATGGCTTAACGGCTTAATAAAAGATCCTACTGACTTTCATAATCCTCTTTCTTTAAAAAACTCATTTGATCTCACCAATAGAATAAAAAATGTGATTGTTCCTCCTAATGGAGTCTTAGTTTCTTTTGATGTTGTGAACCTTTTCCCTAGTGTTCCGCCTGATGATTGCATTAGGTTGGTTCGTAGTCTCCTTTTTGATTCTAATATCCCAACTTTCCATGTTCTCAACCTTTGTCAACTCCTAGACACAGTTCTTGAACAAAACTTTTTTCAGTTCAAACCACAGGTTTAGACATGGGCAGCAATCTCTCTCCTCTCTTATCTGTCTCTGTCTCTTTCCCCTGTTTCATAAAATAAACTTTTGGTACAGATATGCAGATGATTGTCTGGTTCTATCCACTCCACTTTGAGATACCATGGACTTTTATAGATTAGACAAAAACTTTACGAAAGACACTGTATGTTATATTCCAGAAGTGCTATAATGTTATCAGTTTTTTGCTAAAGAAAGCCTGATATCAATAACTGATTGTTTCGCATTTTTTATCATCTATATAGTAATATTGCAATGAGTAAATGGAATAGGTACCTACCAAATAATCTAGATCGCATTTTTTTCAGAAAAAAAATATTCGGAAACGAATTTAAAAATACAGGGATGAGGCTGCTCAAATAAGTGGGACACCACTGTACATAACAAAAGGTCATGTCAAATGATTACTCGTTCTTCCCAATGTATCTAGGATGTTCTTTTATATTTGAACACCTATACACAGTATTCACAAGTTTGTACAATATAGGTATTTTTTGTTTTTTTTTTTCAACACGTTGAGTGTGAGGATAGTGATAAGATGGAAACACGAAAATTTTCTTTTTTATATATACTTATATAAATATGGGAATACTCAAAATTCGTGGTATCTCTGAAATCAATACGCCACGTTAACCCTACCTTTGGCCTCGCGCATGTCTGCACGAGGTGCGCAAGGAAAGAAGTCCGATCGGACAGGTCGAGAAAGTGATGTGCACTTGAACCTTCACCCGCCATCTGCTGAGTTAAAAATAACCGCAAAGTTGATAAGTTTCCTCCTACAATCAACCAAAGTGCCAGACCAGTGAAATTACCTATACCAGGTAGAAAAAGGGGCCCCTGGTGCACCAGGCTGAAGTGAAGCTGTCGATGGGTCTTTGGCGTGGAAGAAAATAGAAAAGGTAAAGGAAAACGTGGCCGGTTTCACTTTGCAAAATCTGTTCGAATTTGAATATCATTCTGAACTCAGCTTTTATGATTCCATCCGCAACATTGGTCTTTTGAGCCCGATTTTAAAAATTTGATAGATATTTTTTTGTTCGCCATTGGGTTTATTTTATTGTTTCAATTTCAAACGCCGCAATACTGGAGTTCATAATAATTATTCCAACCGCGCAAGTCAAATAAAAAAAAACACATTCAGTTACCGGTATATTGCCTGCTCGATCCTCGCTATTTCACTCTTTTGCTCTCTCACCTATATTTGGTTTCTTCTACAAACAACAGGTGAATTCAAAACCGCCCAGGGTCGGCTTGGAAATAATTGAAATATTTCATTAAAAATTTTATGTCAACTCTTGCTGAATAATTAAAAAGGGCAAGAAGTCTTAGAACTTGTTACGGATTATTATCCACCAACTGTAATTTTCTCACTCGTAGTAATCAAGCCAATTTTCCAATAATTAAGGACTGTATATTTCGTGTTTTCTACATGAATAAAATTCTCTGTACGAACTCTACTACGGTTAAAGCTGTTCCACACCGTCTCATGACAACTGAATTCCGCCAGATGGCGATTGTATAGACAATATGAATAATCACATTTCGAAGTGTTAAGCTCCTCCCACCTTCCTACAATCGGCAACTTAGGTAGAACTGACCCTCCGAAGAGGTGATGTCAGGTATAGAAACTGATTTGCATAATCAGAGCGATAATTTCTAAAATTATTATTTATTCTAGTTTGCAAAACCAGATACTTTGGCTGAGCCTGAGAACTTTTATATTATCGATTCAGGTATACAGGGTTTTCTTCAGAAAATATAGTCTCATTCATTGGCATTTCATATTATTTTCATTCAATTGATAAAAATGTTATAATAAGGGTATTAGTACGTAATTATTATGTATGTACATTCTGATATTTTCATTCCGTTTCTTGTTGAGTAATTTTCATTCCTCTTGATACCCTGGCATCAATGATCTCTGGAAGAATACATTCTCTGTAGAATTTTGTCAATTTTGGAGTCATTTCATTCCATATATCACATATAAGTATCATTTAGTTATTCTGCTTCATAAATCCAGAAACCAGCAGACATCTGAATACTTCTACTAGTAATAACACATCAGTTATGTATGGTTGAAACATGGATATTGGTCCTTCCAGAAACAAACAAAAAACTCAATAATAAATATGTCACACCAGGCCCACAAAAAAATAGGCATCTAGAAGATGGATACCTACATACCTATAATTATCCGGAATCTATCACAGCATATGCTGTGCTTTTATATTCAAACCTTTCTGTTTCAAATCAGTGACTGGCTTCTCATAGATTTTTTGATAGCTTTTTTTGTTATTTTTGCACAAATAAAATCTGTTAGGTAGACATTATTCCTAGATTTCTGATTTCCACTTGACTAGGCTGTACCATTCATTCGCTTCGGGTAGGTAGATATCTAAATCTGAAATTAACTGTTATCAGCTTCCAAAGCTTTGCCGTTCTATAGACGAACGAGTTCTGGAAGAGTGTTATTCGACAGATTTAAAGGTTGACAACGAAAGGATGTCCCGATTGGGCCTGTCGAGTTCGTCTGACTGGTATTGTTAGTGATGGAATGATAGTAGAGATAACTGAGGAACAATTTCCGTGGAAGTATCTATAGAATAGTGAAAGGTCGCCGACTTGTCTACGATGTTCTAATGATGTCAAAGTATTAGTGAGTGTGGCATCGCCCACCAGACGAATAGCTCTTCTCTGGATGGAATCTAAGAGCATCTTCGTGTGTTCGGTGGTAAACCCCATATGTGAGAACAATATTCTAGAACTGGCCGTATCTGTGCTTCGTAGATCATGAGAAGCTGTTGAGGTGTGAAGTAGATTTTCGCACGGAATAAAAATCCGAGTTTCTGCGGAGCAGCTTTCGCTATGGATCGTAGATGATTCTCCGATGAAAGAGTTTTACTGATGGAAATACCGAGCATCGATATAGTGGTCTTGGTAGGAATGGTGGTACCATCAGACATCGTAATATCAGACATACTGAGTTCTGTCTTTCTAGAGAAAATACAGGCTTGAGTTTTGGTGGCGTTGAATTCAACGATGTTGTTAGTTCTCCATAGGCAGTGGAACACATCGAATACTTCGATACAAAATTCCACGAATTTTTTAATAATAATTATAGGATATATGAACGCGTTTATGTATCAAGTAAGCCGGAATAATAATGATAATAATACCTACCTATATTGGTAAAGTCTATGTAATGTCAGTTGGAACAAAACATCACGAGGGCCGTCGGTTTCTTCGAAAGTTCAAAGGGAGCGACAACGCGCTCCGAAATTCCTTCCATGATCTGTTTCAACTGACTTTGGATATCGAAATTATAAATACATAATATTATTTTGTCAAAAGTACCTTCTTTCGTTGAGTTGTTTCATCAATTTAGATCTGGTAGATCTTTTATATGAACTCTTGATGATGACATTTTCTCACCATTCGCCGTGATTGAGCAATTACGGAACAAATAAAACAATACGCACAGCACAAGTTATCAACAAACACTAAGGGCCAATTTATGCATCATTGTCTTTGTTATAGTCTTAATCACAGTCACTGTCCTAATCATAAAATCAAATTAAAACTGTACATTTCAGTAGGAGCATTTATGCAATTTCTTTAGTTTTAGTCTCAATCATAATCATAAGAATTTGACCTTGAAAGTTGGCAATTTTCAATTTTTATGCTTATGATTATGACGACATGCACAACGCGCAAGCGTGCGTCAATCGCGTCAATATCAATTTGACAAATGACATAATTTTAATCATTTGTTTTGTTGACTTGTGATCATTGTTGTTAAATTATTTTGTTTCGGAAAAAAAATGAGCCTGGAAGAGGGTACTCTTATAGAAATGATCGAAAAATTTCCCCACCTTTGGGATAAAAAAAACCCATCCTATAAGGATAAAATAGCAATCGAGAATTCCTGGAAAACAATTTCCGAAATAATGTCATTGACTGGTAAGTGGATATAGGGTTTCGTCAACCTTTTTTGTATTTTTATATTTTCAGTTGAAGAATGCCAAGATATGTGGAAGTCAATCAGACTCAAATTCATTAGAGAAAGAAGACTCATAAAAAATCGGCCATCTGGCTCAGGGGCTTACAGCTGCACTTGGACACTATATGAAAAATTGGGATTTTTACATGATGTAGTTACCACAAGAAAGTATAAAGTGAATGAAAGTTTTTGGTGACTATATGATAAGATATAATTTTTGTTTTAGAACAAAGGGGAACATCAAAAAACATAGTGAAACCCTTTCAACTCCATCAGATGTATGGGAGGACATCATTATGGTAGATGCAGATGGAGAAGTTTCTCAAGAGATCAGTAACTCAGATAATGAAATGAGTCAGGACCCAGACCCACAATCAGAAACTGAATTGTCTCAGGAAATGCCGTCTACGTCAAAAAGAACCCTGAGCAACATTACGAATCTACCCAGCTCCAGTAGTATGAAGGGAAAACAACCAAAAAAGAGAAAGTCTGATGTTCCACTAGACCAACTAGTGGAAACATGCTCATCCGTGGGAAAAAGCATCACCAATTTTTTTAAAAGTTCACCTGATAGTAATATTGGAAAAGATGATTACCATTTTGGTTTATCTGTAGCAGAATCAATATCCAAAATAAAAGATGAGAGAAAAAAACTGGGTATCAAAGCAGAAATATTTGTTATCATATCTGATGCAATTGCAACTTAACAATGAGTTTTTCTTCCACCAAGCGTTTTTTTGACTTCATCTTCAAAGAACATTTTTCTTCGCAGTTTGAAAGTAACAGAATTCAATTAGTTTATTTCAACTAGTCCATTCAAGAGACTTATTATCCATATGTTTACCAAAGAATCATGTTTGTTTTTTTTTTTTTTTTTTTTTTATATATGAGTTTACTTGTGTGTTTTGATAGGATCATCATTGTTTTTTTCTATTCTACAGTTTAAGAATAGTTATGTTTAGTAGGTTTTTGTAAGTTAAATATTTTTGTTATATTTATTGAGAACAAAAAGTATTCTTCCCATTTATCACACAAATATTTATACATCTAGATGCACATTTTGATAACCAATTTCAGTGGTAATACTAATGACATTGTTTAGTTTTCCTACTGATCAAAATGCTCTTATGAGAGTGTTAATACTTGTGTGATAAAGTGGAAAAATACTATTTGTTCTCATTGAGTGAGAACACAGGTGTCCAGTATTCTGTTTTTGATATTTTTTGATTATTATTTTGTAAGACGTTTGGGAAACTGTGTTATATTTCTTGAAAATGTTTTGAAAATGAAGAAATTGTGCATACAGGATTGTTGTTTGTGTGAATAAAAATAAAACAGGTTGATGATGTTCATATATTCTATTGAAGAAATGAATGGTCTTGTTCAGCTCAAACTAAAATTATAAAAACAAGTCAAAATGAACATGTAGATATAAAAAATATGGAAAAAAGGTAAATTAAGGTAAAACTTGAAACCTAAAAAAAATCCTATGAAATAAACATCAATCTCAAACAATTTTTTACTAGACGAAATCTGAAATCTCAACTTGTGGGAACTGCTCCCCTAAGGACATAATCTTCTTGCCATGGAACCTTTCCCTCATTTGACATGAAATAATCAGCCAGGGTGTTTCTTTGTGCCTCGATAATATTTTTTGCATTTTGTGAGCCCAATCTTCTCACGGATCTCAGATGACTCCCGATAACCACTTCACCCTCCTTATCACACAGATATGTTCGCTCTGCAGGTGGCAGATCCTTCTCAAATGTTTGTAAAGTGTTGTGAAGCACTACACATGCTTGAACTATCAATTCACTCACTTCTAAACTTGCCTGGATAGGTCTTAGCAAAATTCGCCAACGTTGGCTCAAGATCCCAAATGTACTTTCTATGGTTCTTCGAGCACGGCTAATCCTATAATTACAGATATTTTCTTTCTCTCCCAGATTATTTCCAGCAAAAGGGCGAATAATATTCTCATGTAATGGGAATGCACTGTCAGCCACAAGAAAGTAAGGCATCTTGATTTCTGTTCCAGGTAAGTTTTTTGGAGGAGGAATATTGAGGTTGCCCTGCATAAGAGCCTCACCTAAGCCACTCAACTTGAAAACTGCGGAGTCATGATTAGACCCTGCAGCTCCAATGTCAACAGTTGTAAATCGATAATGGGCATCACAGGTAGCCATCAGTACAATGCTGAATGATTTCTTGTAGTTGAAAAAAACACTTCCTGACTTGGGTGGGGCTCTTATAACAACATGTTTGCCATCGAGTGCTCCTATGCAATTTGGCAAATTCCACCTATTGAAAAATTCCACAGCTATTGATTCCCAATCTGCCGTAGATGGTGCCAGTAGCTGGGAAGGGCTCAAAACATCCCAAAGAACTTTACAGGTCTCCTTTATAATTTTGTGAGCTGTAGCATGTCCGATTCTAAACCCCCAGGCAACTTCTTGCATGGAACAACCTTCAGCCAGGTAACTGAAAAAAAAAATTATGTTCAATACTTTTTTCCAAAATCTAAAAGATGCAAACTCACTGAATAGTTACTAATAGACGATGTTCTGGGGATAGGTGATATTTATTAATATCTTTTTGTAGGTAAGGACCTACTAAACCAAGCAAATCGGAGAATTGTTTCTTCGTCATCCTTGTGAATTTAAAAAATTGTTGTTCATCCAGCTCTTCCGTTTTCATGGACTTAATAAGGGTTGAAAAGAAACCTTCCCTTGTTCTTTTTTTGTTCATTGGTCGAACTCCACATTTCCTGACTCTCTTTTCCTTGAGAAAATACACAGTAGCAGTTACAAGAAATAAGTGAAATAGGCCAATGCCTGCGATTATTCTGTTTTCGACGTTCATTTTGTTAAAAGGAAACGATATTTTTTATTATGATATATTAAATATCAAAATATGTGAAATTTGACACTTGACACTTATGACAGATATGACAGTGTCAATGTTCAATTTTCAAGCTTATGATTGTGATGCATAAATGTAAAAATTGATTTTAAGACAAGGACTAAGACTAGACTATGATAATGATTGTGACTATGATAATGATTTGTTGCATAAATTGGCCCTAAATCACTTGTTTCATGGGGTAGTAATCAGAGTGGGTAATAAGTAATGTGGCTGGTCATGGGTCATTCTGATTGGATCGTGGGTGTGGCCTAGCGAGGGGCGGAGATCGTAAGCGTAAATCAATTAAAAGTCAAAAATCGATTTGAAATGCATTATGCCAAAAACACATGATTTTGACTCATCGACATGCCGATAGAAATATGTTAGCATCGTCTTATGTTGATGAATGTGAACAAAATTAAAAAATTGAAACAAATTCGTCATTTTCAAAAGCAATTTAACGAGAAACTGAAAGAAAAATTCGAAATATTCTTTCCACGATCTATAGTATTCATCAACATCAACAGATTGTCAAAAATTCAAATAAATCTATCGATTCATTTCCATTCTGTAGTTGAATTTGAAATGCATTATTCGGTATAGGCGTTATAAAGGTAGGGAACGACCTTAAGCAGCCAAGAATGATACCGTTCTAGATCCCTATTAGCTATTGTTTGTATTTGAGTTAGTTCTTTGGCTTTATACACTAGAACAGTATCATCCGCAAATTCAAAGTATCTCCCTTCAAGTTCTGCAGACCTCAATGATAATACATGTAGTGTATATAATTATGGCTCCAATACTGAGCCCTGGGGTACACCCAATATCGTGTTTTGCACTTGACTAGAAGTCGCGTTCACTGTAATATATTGTTCTCTATTTATGAGGTATGTTTTAATAAAGGTGAATTCATAAAATATTGATTATAATTACATAATCATTACATTTAAATTACATTATAATTATAAAAGATAAATACTTCAGAATCAAGGGATCTGTTCATATAAGTAAATTATCACATTTACATTACATTAAAGCAGTGCAGAGTTGACGAACTTTTAACTTCTCATTATAAATTCGTAGTGTAAGGTAGAGTACCGATATTAATTTTCATTGACCGTTCCGGTTGACACTACTGACGTTGACGGTATTGAGATATGACTTTTTCACATGTGATTTCGGAATGGTTGTCTCATGAACTGTCAACTTTGTAGGTGGTTTTGTTTTGATTTGAGCACATTTTGATTAGGCGTTTTTGATAAATGAAGTCCAGTTGTATCGAGAGTTGTATTTTGTCATTATTAGACCTTTTTGAGAAGATGGAGGATAATTTTGTCTGGGAATTACTTTTATCGAGTACTGATAGCTCTAGTGACGATGAAGACATCCATGTTCATAGGCGAATAGGTATAGTAAAGGGCAAAGAGGGTGAAAGTATTCAGTCCAGAAATTTGAATGATTTTATATTATTTCAAATCAGCATACAAGACCAAAAATACAAAATTATGTGGAAAATATTGTCAGTAGGTACTGTGATGAAGAATTCCATAACAATTTCAGAATGAGTAGAAGAACTTTTGAAGCAGTCTTGGACCTGATTGTGGAGAAAATAGCCTACAAAATATGTGGTAGACCTACATTATCACCTAGAACACAATTGTGTATGGGTCTGTGATATTTGGCGACACCAGATTCTTATAGGTGGGTTGTTGAAAACAATACATCATTTGAAAAATGAAAAAACTTTTTTTTCAGATCTGTCTGTGGACGTTTTGGCATTGAAAAAGCAACGGGATTGAGAACAGTGAGAAGAGTTGTCAATGCTTTGTTTGAGAGAGAGAGAACATCTTTATTAGGGATATACCCCAAAAGGCCATTGACCGAAGTCTTTCAGCCCACTTTGTTTGAAATAAGTCCTAATGTAATAGTTTGGCCTACAGAAGAGAGACTTCAGCAAATTGAGGAAAGATTCACAAATGCAGGATTTCCAAATATTGTTGGTGCCATTTGTTGGGTTTCTTTGTAATATGTTGATATGATTGTTGTAATAATTGAAGATTTATAATAATTATATACTTGTTACAGACTTTTGTATTTTTATTCTTTTATTAATGACTTGACAACTTCTTGACAATTACAGACAAGTGACATTAGTGACAACTCAACTTGAACACATTCGTACCAACTCACACTCAGCATACTGTCTCCAGTGAAAATAAAAACAAAAAAAAACGTTGAGGCACACACACAACCCCTTCGGCATCGTCGGGTAGTCTATAAATAAAACAGGTAGTTTTGGCGGTCAAGTGCGGTGCTGCCACTGTCAACAAATTATCGGATTAAAGGTTGATTCGCACTATACAGCACGGACCGTCACGTAACGACAACGGCACGTACCGGCACCGACACGACAAAATTTCGTAGCACGGGTTTAAGCGAGATTGTACATACTAACCGGCAACGACAGTCGCGTTCCGGCAACGGCACGGAACGGCACGGAACGGCACGGAACGGCACCGGCCGACATTCTCGAAAAGAATGTTTTGCCGGTTCGGTACGGTACGTGTCGGAGCTTGTCTGCTAGTCTGCATTAGATAACGGTAGGATACGCATGGAGCACAGCAAATATGGATCAAGAAAAATTAATTGAATGCGTGAAATCATGGAAAGCGTTATATGTAATGAGCAATCCAAAATACAGTGACAATGTGTTCAAGGAAAATGCTTGGAGAGATATCGCAAAAGAACTCAGCCAGACTGGTAAGATAAATGATTTACTATTTCGAAAAATAATACATTTCACAGAATTGTGTCTTGCCATTCAACACGGCCGTGTTCCGTGATGAAAAATTCTCTAAAAGTGTCCCTTATATTGAATGCTGTATTCGTTGCGTTCCCCCCTTGTCGTGGCAAATTTTGCAAACCATTGTCAGTGTTTCGATTATTTACATTTTCTGTGACATTGATTTCAATGTCTCGAAGATAATTGTGCAAGATACACGTAGTTAAAATAAATCTATCTGCATTCTCTGGTTTCAACTTCAGTCTACGATTGTAGAGCTGGAACTTTTGGCTCAAAATTCCGAAACTCTACGAGCGCGTGACAGCCGGTAGTTGAAAATTCTTTTCGATCTATCTCCCTGAATTTGCGAACCAGGGTATGGGCGTAGTAAATATTTTTTCAGCGGAAATGCTTCATCACCAACAATAACATGAGGCATAATAGTCTGCGTATTAGGAAGCGTATTGTCTTTCGGTATTTTCAATTTGTTTTTTTCAAGAGCTTTGCCCAATGTTGAGTTTGCAAATAAGCCTCCATCGCTATTCTTGCCATATCCGCCAACGTCAACCGCAATGAATTTGTAATGGGCGTCTACTAATGCCAAGAGAACAATGGAAAACGTTTTCTTATAATTATAAAACTGTGATCCACTATTTGCGGGTGCCTGGATAACGACGTGTTTGCCATCGAGAGCACCTATGCAATTTGGAAAATTCCAGATATCCCAAAATTCTTCAGAAATTTTCTTCCATTGCTCCTCTGTAGGCGTCGGCATTGTTAGTGGCATCAATTTTTCGATTATTGCTTCCGAGTCCGAGTCGGTAACTGATAGCTATTGTTCGGAACGAATCACCAGTGGCTAAGAATCTAGGAAATTGAGTATAAATTTCATGATTCTACTTTTTCTTTTTCATATATAACAATTACTAATTGAATGATGAATGAATGAAACGGTTCATTTTTCATTCTAACTTAAAGTACATAATATATTTTTTTTCTCATTCAATTCACTGTTACTCATGGAATATTCAAAATTTTCATTTCCATAAAGATAAATCTTTTTAGCCGCCGTGTGTAAGAAAACATGGACGAGACTCCGAGACTCTTACAGAAGAGCTATGAAGAAAAAGCGAGAAACAAAAAGTGGACAGGCAGCTTCGAAAATGAAAAAATGGAAATTCGAAGACGAAATGTCATTCTTACTACCGTATATGCAAGAGAGAGATACATCATACATACATGCACCAATTTAACAGAAGTGACCGATGATGATGATGAGAATGAACAGAATATAGACGCATGTACTGAAAACAACGATGATAGAGAGGACGACGATGAAAATGATAACAGAAGCAATGATAAGGATGATGATACTAATGATGATGTCGATAATGATGCAGTGGATAATGACACATCAAATGTGGAGAATGAAAAAACTAAGAGACAGTCAAAGATCAACAGAAACATTATAACCAAAGTGCGTAGGAATATAGCAAAAAAACCTCAAGCACAATCGGAAACGGCATCGGCAGTGGTAGTGAAATACTTGCTAGAGAAAAAACAGCTAATGCCACGATAACACCGCGTACTGAACAGCCCAGCGCAAGTCAATCGTTTTTTTCAAGTATTGCGAAAACGGTGAAACATTTCTCTCCGTATTATCAAAATATAGCAAAGTCAAAAATATTCGCCATTATCACGGATCTAGAAATGCAACAAATCATACAACAACAACAATTTTTGCAACCCAACGCACCGACACAACGGCCCTGCCCTGCACCTACACCAAGGATACCCCTACAATCTCGTCAATCGTATGAAACTATGCAGTACAATGTATACCCTCCATCAGTGTCACCATCAGTATCGATAGTGACAACTCCGAGTCCTTCACCATCGGCAAGTGCAACTCCAACTCCACCAACATTCTGTCATGGTTTTCCAGATACAAATCAAATGACCAACGAGGAATCATTTCTTAATGAGTATACGAAATTGTGAATTCCATAGTTCATACGTACCTTAAACAAACTGCAAGTTTTTCTGTTGGTGAAATTGCTTCGCGGAATGACGTGTTTTGTTTCAGGATGGCTGGTTGTACCAATTTCAATGAACCATAAAATTTAGACTTTGGCATCCGAAAATATTGGTGAAACTTGTCGTCAAATTTTAATAAATCTTTGAATAAAGTCCAATACTCTCCCTCTGTTTTTCTTTTCTCCAATATTGGGTGTACCCATCTTCGTTTACGTTTTTTCGATTTTTTTGTTTCGTCTTCGTCTAAAAGTAAGGCTATAAGAGCCAGTTCATCGTCGCTCCACGATGGATCCATTGCGGCTACTGAAAGCTAACTGACGGATGTATGTCGGTGCAATGTGAATGTACGCGTATAATTGTCGTGTCGGTGCCGGTACGTGCCGTTGTCGTTACGTGACGGTCCGTGCTGTATAGTGCGAATCAACCTTTAGTCCCAAACAGAACTATTGAGATTTATAAAATCACTGAACTTTATGATGTAGCAGTGAGAGCTCAGAGTGATGAATCAGTGCATTCTGTCTTTATGCAATGATTCAATATCATAGAAAGAATTCACGAAAACTTTTTGAAGCAACAAAATGAGATATCCAGTGATGTTGAATTCGTTTCAGAAACTGAGGAAGTCATCCGAACGGATTTTGAAGATGGATACTTTACAATGAAATCCGTTCATCACGAACTTTCCGAAAGAGATATTCAATTGAATTCCACCGCACTTGAACAAACTTCTACTTCAAATAAAATTGAATTGCCACAGTTGAGACTTGATAAATTCAACGGAGATATTGTCACGATAGGAACCAAAAATATTCATAGCTACTATTCAAAGTTATATTGATTCAAGATTCATTAATAAAAGTTCATTATTCATTTTATCGTATAACATTCGATGAAAGGAAACGAGTATAATGTTTCACTCACGATGGCAGCTCATTCAACTGGAATGAAATACCCGCATTTGAAGTAAAACGCTGACTTTATCAAAATATTCTAAATAAATATCGAACAGCCGATAAGGCAAGGTATCAGTTTGGATCTGATCAGCTAGCCTTCACTATGGTTCATCCCCTGCATCTGCTAGAGATTATTTTGTAAGTACTACTGTCACAATCGTTATGTTGTCAAACTATTAAATGTTTCTTTTCATTGCGAAGTCTGATGTATTTACGTTTGCATTGAATCTCGTTTGTTAAAATCACTAATGAAACTAATTTCTTTCAATAAACTGTAGCTTTATAACGAACAACTGTTTTGATTTCTCGGCCTCCCAAGCGAGTTCACCCCCGAGTCACCACCCTGTAGCCATGGGTCGTGATTAAATTATGTTGGGAATACCAATATATGTGGTACATCGTATGTGAAGACTGTCATTGTGTAGAAGCGTTTCTCGATTTAGGTAGATTGTAAATAGAAGTTCAGTTTTTATTAGTTTCCCCAATAATGCACCAACTATTGAGGAGGTTAGACGTTATGGTGGCATTTTTATTGGATATAGCGGAAGTCAGTTTGTCATCAGGAATGATGAGGATTATAAAAAGATTTGTGCAGATATTGTTATTAGTTATGAGGCGTTTAATGGTAAAACATTAGCAGCTTTTTTGGCCGTAGAATTGCGAAAGAAGCGTATTAAGTTTGGGAATGCATTAAGATGTTTAGTTTGGCAAGAAGCGGATGTGCTTAATGGTAGTGAGGGTGAGACTGTAAATACGGTATGGCGACATCGTGAAAGGAAGGAGCTGTATGGTGTATGGTAATGCTAGAATAGGTTTTTGTGGCATGATTGATGTTAATAACAATGATAGATTTGGTTTACCTAGTCGATATAGCGAGGATGAAATCATTCAAAGATTTACACGAAACGGGAAAAATCGATTTATTGAGTTACGTCGCAAGCAGATTGGAGACTATGACAAGGTTAGATCTACAAGAGAAGTCGAGCAGATTATCGCTGTCGAAACTGTATGTGCAATTCTTTTTTGTGTGGGAGTTGATGATATCACTTTTAATAATGATATTCAGTCATTGGTCTTGGCGTTTTCATTGAAAAAATCGATTGTTCATGATTTCATTGAAGTTAGTATTAGTGACGGTTATCGTGTAGTCTTTCATAGTATGGATAAGATGTTTGTAATTGGAAAAGAGGAAAAATGTTTGTTAGCCTTTCCTTTGGCTAACGACGTAAAGGAGGTATGCTATTTGCTTATGAATAATAAAATCAATATTTGCCCATTATATGTAGGGAGAGCAGCTGAATACATGGGGTATGATGAGTGGATCGATGATTGGAGTAGTCTGAATAAGGATGTACAAGATTACAATTATTTTTGTTCATTAAATGTAGCTGTTGAGGAAGTTGACTGTATTGAGATGGAACGTAAGAGCGATCTTCCATATGTTGATATATATTTGTAACGGTCCACTTGAACCGTACATAAACTTAAGTGACCCTTCTACTATTCATTTTTTTTTTAGTGCAATCAGTTCGGAGTAACACTCGGTATGCATCGTATTTTCAACAGAGAGATAATATTTCAGCATTAATTTGTCAGGACAACCTGTATATAACTTTCGTCTTCTTCCTGTGATTGTGATCGAGTCATACGTGAAGATGCTGATATGCTTCCCTGCTAAGAGTTTCACTTGTGGATGTGTTTATCTTATTCTTATTTTTGCCTACAAACTCAAGACTTCTTCTTCTATTTATAACAATTAAAATATCAACATAGAGAATTCACTTCTATATGATTGCCTCACCTGTGTTATTGAAACAGTGTGGACAATCGATCTCACGTTAAATACAAAGTCACTAGATAAGGCCAATTTACATAGCACTCAATTAGACCCAGCGCTCTGGTTTCTTAGTGTTCTGTGTCTAAGTTCGACGGTGTAATCTTGACCCCGCCGAAATTCGAGCAAGATTGACGGAGATCGTTCTCTCTCGACTGGCGCTTGGCAGAGCAACAAGTAAATTATTTTACCATCTTTCGAAATGCCAATTATATTGGAAATAGGCCGATTAAAACCTATAGGTATGTAAAATATGATATAAGGTTAATTTTGAGCCATTTGATAATGTTCACACAATTATAAAAGTATAAGAAAACACATCGATCAACGTGATATTCTTTTCAGGCCTTTTTGGTTTCCACTGAAGCCATTTTTGTTAACTTCTTTAACATGTGCAATATGCACCTGCGCACATGACCTGTCGTCATGGCGGCAATTTAAATAACCTAACCTGATGTTGGATGTTTTGGTTAAATGTGATGTATATTTCACAATTGGGACTTATGGTTCGATGCCTCCCAAATTTCAACCCATATTATTGCTAATGGGGCAATAACAAGTGTTCGTCAGCTGTTGAAGTTTGCTGCCTGTTTTGTTTATGTTTGGATACCATGTATATGAATGAATTGGATACCATTTGCTGATGCAATTTATGGAGTATGAGGAAGCCACCCATACAATTAATGGTTAATTTTGAGTAAGAGTATAATAATGGATGACCCTCAGTGAGTACTACTTGTGATGTAATTTTTGATTACCATTGAGGAGTTGAAGACATAGATCTTCACTAGTGTCTTACTTTGTTTACCTTGTAATAAGTGTTCTCCTATTTGTGAGAAACGAAATAACAGCTGCTATTTCCTTTCGGAGGAAACCTAGGTATTTTGTTTACATTTATTATTCCCAGTCACCTGGTGACTTATTATTATCACTTGCTAGCCACAGTGAGGCTGTCATAGATTTAATTTCACTAACATTACATCTCTTGGCATTGCCTAGAATAGAGTTGAAACACTCACCTATTCATTGATAAAATTTCACTAACATTGTAACTAAGTAATCTATTGAATTTCAATTTAATCATTATAATTAGTCATTATATTAACATTAATTGTAGTAAACATTGACTTATTACACACTGCGTGTAAGCACTTCTATTAACATCATTTAGGTAATTATATGCATGGTTTTCAAAAGGTATATATATAGTTTGATATTTTTGTTCTGTCCTATCCTAATTCTTCTCAGTTAACTCTGAGTGGCGCCCATAGTTTGCTTTACAGATAACATCTTGTGGAAAAACAAATAGAAAATAATTTTCTCAAAATCCCACGACCGCTCTACGACTATAAAGGCCACCGTGCATTGAGGCTTTAATTTCTTTTTGTGAAGTTACGCCACATAAAATTGGCGCCTTAACGTGTGGGGCCTATTTTTGAATTTGCAAATGTCAACTATGCATTAATTGTTTGTACTATTGAGTTTTTCAAAGCCCAGGCAAAAGCAAACAAATCTCTGTACCTTCCCAAATTCCTAGGACAAAACAAAAATCAAACCTTTTGTTTACTGCATAATATTACTTGCAAAGATTTACTTTTAATTTGCAAACGCCTTCAAAACAAAAACAGCAGCAGTTCCTTTATTGAATTCCATTCAAGGTTTTCAGGTTTTTTCACGTCTGATTCGATTTCATTCATACAGGGTGAACGTAGTTGGATATAATTTCAGATTACTGAAAATATATATATTTATTCC